TTCCCAGGTTCTTGCCATCTGGGAAAACGGGCAAGACAGCCTGTTCTACAAGCGTCAAATTGTTAAAGCTGCCAGCTTCAACAACTAAGCCAAATACATTCTCTGGAAAGCAAAATAAAACATGCAAAATGTGTTATAAACTATGTTAACACTTTAATTAATTGCAGCTAATTAATTGTTTTACCTTGTCTTGTTATTTTACCTAGGTAAGTATACATATACATATTATTTGGTAAAGGAGTAAGAAGAAAAAATGAGACACAACCTGTAAAACAGCTCCTTTTAATGCACTTTGTCTCGCTCATTGAAATTCAGTGGAAATCCCACCATCCCTCAATTCAATTGTGAATTAAACCCCTGGACATTATCGTGTTCAGCATTTTAATAAGGCCACACATTGCACACTTCAGAGTTGCTTACTGTCTAAACAAATCTTTTCCTGCATTTCAAAATGAAAGTTTCACAGTACTTAAACTGTTTGATTATTCTGTGTCTGTGTGGGAGAATGTACAGACAAAGATAGCTTGTCTCCTGAGAAATCTCTAGGATCCATGCCTCTTCCCCCACACCCATCTTTGGGAAGACATATATATTAGATGATGCCTCCCTTTTCTCTTACCCTTACTCTTTCTATAAACCTCCCCACCACCACCTTTTCTAATGAATGAATAGAGTTAGCAAGCTGTATAAGTCAGCAAACATGAAGACAAGGCTTTGGGTTATGCTAAACATTATATAGCATATGCATGTCACAATATCTGTTCTTCGCAGTGAAAAGTAGGCTACATATATGATTAGATGAAAAGAGACCTAGTCTCTCACATCCATCCCATGGCTTTTCCACGTCTGCTGTCAGGCAACCCAGGGCTGATAAAGAGGGCCAGGATGGGTTTCTCACATGAGGCCAGCAGTGTGTGAAGATGTGTGGCTCCCCACTGCCAGCAGAACTCAAGAAGTCTTGTGTAGGTGGGCTTCATGTTGGACAAGGTTAAGCCCCAAAGAAATAAGAATGGTCTGCAGAGAGTGAGAAGGGAGGCTGCGATTGACCCTTGGCTCCTTAATCTAGCCTGTACATTGTAGCTTCATCTTCCAGAATGAGTCATAAGAGCATAAAACTGTAGGGCTGGGAGGAACCCCAATGGTCACCAAGTCCCAAGATTGTCTGTAAAAACAGTCTGGCCTTGCACAGTGTTTTAAATAGTTATTTCTTTTTATTTCTCTGATAAAACTGCTTAGTGGTTAGAGTGCTAGATGGACTCAGAAGGCCTGTGTTCAAATCCCCATTTGGCAGTGAAATTCATAGTGCCACACTTCCTCAGTCTGATCTATCTGATATGGTTATTATGAGGATAAAGTGCAGAGGAGACCCAAGTACACTAACTTGAGCTCATTGGAAGAAAAAAAAATTGTAAACCGCCTGGAGAGTGTTCATTGGAAGAAAAGTGGAATATAGATGTAAAAATTAAAATGTTTATAACACCTTCCTGACAAGCAGGTGTTTCCCAGGTACACACTTTTTTTTCATGGCAGGAAAAGCTGCACTTGCAGCATTTTATGAAGCAGCTTTTAGAGGCATACCTGTGAAAAAGAAATAATGGCAAATCTAGAAATCAGAGAGCAGGGCCTTTTTTGGTAGATCTTGCAAGATACAATCTGTCCCTATCTGACAAGCACAGTCTTTCCTACAAAAATATGTTTCACATATGCTCTTTTGGAACTGGGTAAAAAAAATTCCAGCACTAGATGCAACACAAACCATAGAATGGAATTTGTTTCTCAGTTTCTGGAAGTAGAGATTCCTTTTCAGTAATATGTTCAATAATACAGACTTTGAAAAATCAGTGGCAGAAGTTAGGTAAAGGTAAAGATTCCCTTTGACAATTTGTCCAGTTGTGTTCGAATCTAGGGGGCAGGGCTCATCCCCGTCTCCAAGTCGTACAGCCAATGTTTGTCCGAAGACAATCTTCCGTGGTCACGTGACCAGCGCGACTGGACACGGAACGCCGTTACCTTCCCACCATGGTGGTACTTATTTATCTACTCGCATTTTTGCATTTGCATGCTTTCGAACCCCTAGGTTGGCAGGAGCTGGGACAAGTGACGGGGACACACTCTGTCACGTGGATTCGATCTTACGACTGCAAGTCTTCTGACCTTTGCAGCACAGAGGCTTCTGCAGTTTGACCCACAGCGCCACCACGTCCCTCGGTTAAGGGTGACTAAATTAAAGCTTATTTCCTTCAATGGGACTCAACTTTAGCTAACAACTGTATGATTAAACTTGAGAGTGAAGGTGATGTAGTGGCTAAAGTTCTGAATTAGGACTAGGAAGTGCCAGGGTCATCAAATTGCTGCTTCGACATGGAGTTTATTTATTAGATGATCTAGGGCCAATCAGTCTTTTACATTCAGTCTTATCACAAGGTTTTACAGGAAACTATAAAATGTTTTAAGCTCTTTGAAGAATATGTAGGAAAAAGTAACTAAAAAATAACTGTACCATTAATGTGGGGGGGGGGAGAACACTTGCTTTCAGATCTGTTAACTGTATCATTAATGTGGGGGGGAGAACACTTGCTTTCAGATCTGTTAGCAATAATAAATGGACTAAAAGAGGGATGAACTGTGTGGCAGGCTTTAGTTTCATGCTTAACTGAACAGCATGATTGAACATTTAGTTATAACTTTTACCAAATCAAGGATGTATGGGATCGATATGGAGTCACCGAGAAACAAGAGGGAACCCTTTGCTTGGGAAAACCCTAAGATTTGCACACTCTTGGTACACAGAGTAGGAGGAGCGCAGTAAAAAAGAAGAAAATGTATAGAGGCACGAAAACAAAAAGAATTTAGTGAGAATGAATAATGGGCAAGAGAAGAGGAAGAATAGATGGAAAAAGTCAATCTTGGGAGTGGGGTTTCCTAACCCATGTAGTGCTGGTACTTCTGGGAGTACTATGCTGGAGAAACAAATCCTTGGGCAGTTACAAATTACATTCATGATATCTTCTTGGAGGGGGACATTGGAGACGTCCTGTACCTCCTGTGATATTCTCCAGAACCCAAATCATTCCAGCCTAAGGCCAGAATCTGGCTAGAGTTGTGTGGTGTAAACTAAGAATCAGACAAGCATTGTGTGTGTTATCGCATTAGCTGTCAGCTGTATGCTTAGACATGCCCAGGCATGTGACAGAAAGACTGCAAAACGTGAAGCCTCTTGGATGACTGTCTTTTGACACCAAGTATTTTGGAGAAGGATTTTGCCCTATGTAGTCCTTTTTCACTATAATCAAATTAAGCCTCAAAGACCTTCACTTGGCTTGATTCTACCCCCTTTTTTCAAGGGCATAATTAGGTACCATGATACATAATGTTACATTCTGCTTGGCTGAAAGCTGGAGAAATGTGTAATTTTGGTGATGGTGGCAAAAAAAACATTTATTTCCTTTCAAAGCCCTAAGGGGTAAAATGTGATGGAAAAATATGCTGAGTACACAGCAGCAGGAAATGTGCAGAGACTATATGCAAAAATGGCTGTGGCCCATTGTTTTCACCAACATAATCCATGACACTTCCTCTTTTTCTCCCTTACATGCTGCCATATAGTAAACTGTCCCATGGTAAGTGACATTTTGCAAAATTGCCACGTAGGCTGCCTGCCTTTTGATGGGCAGCAGGGATTAACTTGCTGAAGGCCAAAAAGAGCCTTGAGTTTTTAAAAAATCATGTCCTTATTGTCTTTACTAAATGTCACTAAAAACACAGTGCACATGTACAATATGAAGAGTGTGATAGAAATTCAAGAAGTGCATTCTTGCATTAAGCAGTAACAGTAGAAGATGAAGAGCATTTTAGTGTGTACATATTTTTAAAATGTATAAAGAGATGCATTTAAACCCACTCTCCACTATAGTAAATTGTGTAGCTATGTTATCCTAATTCATTCCAATTATTTTGTTAGAACTTGTTGGATTTTCTAAGTAATGAGGTTTCTAGGCTGTGGAATGGCGACTGAATGTAATGTTTAAGGAAACTATTGTAGCTGTGACACATGGGTAATCTATACATGTACTGAGACGTTTTCAGTAAGTTCTCTCTGTCAGAAGCATTTCCCCACAGAGGCTAGAAATTGCTCTTTCAGTTCTCCCAAAGTTTAGACTCAACAAAAAGTGTCTTTTGTCACCTTAAAGGCTAACATGTTTTATTTGGTGTAAGCTTTTATGGGACTGTAGCTTACTTCTTCAGATGCATGAGGAAATGGGCTAGAGTCCGTGAAAGCTTAAGATGCCACAAGATTCGTCGTTATTTTTACTGCAACAGAAATTCCTGAAGTTGAAGACATGCTTTGGCAATTTGGTGTTTCACTTAAAAAAAAACCAGGGAGGCTTCAGATCATGCACACATTCTTCTTCTAAGTTTAAAAAAAGATTGTAGGTTATAGTCTTTGTGCGTAGCCTTTGAGAGAAAAATGCTCTGGGAGACAATGAGAAATGAATAAAGTATATATGATTAGAACTAATGTTCTGTCAGAAAGAAAGAGAGAAAACTGGTTTGCTCTAGCATTGTGTCCGTAACTTCATCTTAGGAACAACAACTACAAGATCAATCAAGAAGCATCTTTTCCTTGCTTTAAGCAAGCCCATCTCATAGGAAATAAATTTTATCCGTAACGATTCCTAGAGAAGACAAAACTGTAATGGAGACAGCTGGTTTGAGACAATAAATGAGATTAAAAATGGCTTTAAAAATATTTAAAGAAAAATGTGTCTTACATACAGAATTTAGTAATTATAGGGCTATAGCTGATATGGATAACCTGTATTATGGTTTTGTTGACCCAAATGGTCTTTAGGAATGTGGGGGTCTATAATAAAGCCACCTTACTGAAGCTGAGCTAGCCTGGGAACCCGTGAATGAACGAATGAATTGTGTGTCTCTCTGTTTATCTCTGTGTGTGTCTCTGCCTAAACTTTCTAAAAACTGCTTCTTCAATTTTTCAGTGAGGGAAATCTGGCCACTAAACAAGTAGTTTTCCTTCAGAGACCTGTCATGTGGAATGCAACTGCCCATATGCCTGAGGTAAGCATGGTGATTTGAGTAGGTATGAACAAAGACAGATGCAGATGTTTAATAAGGACTGTTAATTCATCTGCTGCATCGTTTGTTCCTAACTCTGATATTTTTAATTGCACAGAGGACCAAACTAGGATGCAACTACATTGCCAAATAATGCAGGACTTTTTTGGGGGGGGGAGGGTTGGAACAGTGAAATTCATGTTTTTTTCCATTGGCTACATGATGTACAAGTCCATGCAGATCACACACAACCCATGTATAGTTTTTCTTCTGCCTCTAGAGCAGAGGAATCTAGTGCCTTTGCTTTGGTTTAGGTGTTTTGATTACTTGAGCTGATGTGGAGGTCATTCCGGCCAGCTACAGTAGCACTGGGAGAGGCAGGGCAGCAGAGAAACTGGCTGCCATTTGAATCCTCTCCTCCCATGACTGGTCCCTGGGTCTGCTTTCATGTTCCCTCTTCCTGTTCCCTTTTCCTTCATTTCTTTTAAAGTATTGTTAATCCAGCACTGGGGCAGCTAGGTTACCAAAAGGAAAGGGAGAGAGCGAGGAATCATCAGAAAAGAAGACGTTTTATGGTAGCTCTGCTCTAACCATGCCTTCTACAAACCTGGACTGCCAGAGCAGCGCTACCTTTACAAACTGGACCAAGGCTGACCTGAAAAATTACTCCTGTCTCTCTACCAGTTCCTCACATTGTTATTATTTTTCCTATGGCAGTCTAGCTGTCCTACTGCAAGGACAGCAATCCTTTAAAAGAGAATGAAAGAAGAGGGAGGGAGGTAAACAAGCAGACCCAGACACTAAGTGTGGAGATGAGATGATTCAGACTCTTAACAAGCTGCAGAGAAAGCAAATTTCTCTCCGCTGGCTCCTGTAGCGTTGGGTATAACAAATTAACTCAGGGAAACCCAACCTCCCAACCACAGCTTTAGTTAAGACAACACAATGCAGCATTTTCTACAGTGTGTAGTCACACCCTTAGGCTTCAGGAAAAGAGGAGGACAAAGCAAAAAGCAGAGGGCTCAATCCAGAGTTTGACCAGCAGGACTCATTCAGTGAGTTTTTTTCTGGCTGCCCCACTGCAGTCCTCTCTGTCTTCTCCAAAATATGTTCTTGAGGATTAATGGACCGCATTGTGACAGGGAAATGTGGAGAATTCACCTGAGCTGTCATACACAAACTGAAGTGTCATTTGGCTCACACAAGATGGCTCTAGATCTACATCAGTGGAATTGGCTCAGGTAGTTTTACCTGACTTGCGTGTTTTGATTCTGTTTTCTTCTGTGAGCTTGCCATTAATAACTGGTCTAAGAAATGCTGTCCAGAGTTATTATGATCTTCTTATTCCACCCTTTCCTATGATTTGAGTTGGGTGTCCTAGAAAAATCACTTGAAGGATCCAGGGCAATACAAATTATTCCACACTCTGTGAAAGAAAGAACTTCATTATCACCATCACCAGCAGAATCCCCTCCCCCTAGTCATCCACAATAAAAGGAGCATATTGTCTGAAGTTATGCAACAGCTTGGATGAGCTTGGTGACAGACTATTACCCATTTCCTCACAGGGTGAAAAAGACATTAAAAATAAAAGACTCAGAATAGCTTGTGCAGTTGCTGACCTCAGATGATCCTCTGGCCAGCTGGATAATTTCCCTGTGTTTATTATCACTGGAAAAACCACACTGACCATTAACACAGCTGCTGCCTCAAGGGGGTGTGGTGATGTTAGCAACTGCTACATCCATGGCCTGCAGTAACCTACCATGCACAATGTTACCATGGGTCAAGTACTGGATTATAAACATTTTCCTTTCTGGGGCTATTCTACCTACCAGCCACTGTTCTGAAGCTGTTAAATGCCACCTCCATAAGGAATTTCTAGCAAATATAAATACATATTTATGAGACAGCATTCTGTGCTGGTTCTTCTTCACTTAAAGGACTGAAATGCTTCCAGAAGCATCCAGTCTATATAACAAGACTTGCCAACATTTTTCACCCATCCTTTTTCCTCTTCTGTATCTTTTGAACAGCTGTCTTTCAACTGTTGCAAATTAAAACAGTTGAGACCTTCTTGTAAGTGCCAGTTCACATAGCTTGGGATTCTGTCATTCAGTTTGTCTTCACGGATTAATCACAATGAAAATAGGTCACACAACTGAGGGGTTGCTTAGTGTCTAGTTCTAGGATGTAAAATTCTCTACCAAGGAAAACTGTGCTGCCCCCTCCCCTCCTAAGATGTTCTTCTGCCGACAGGCAAAAGGTCTTTTTCTTCAGGCAGGCTTTTGTCATTTATGCTGAATTGCTGTGGAGGGTCTTTTAACTGGGCAGATGCCATTATTGTGTATTTTAATTGTGTTTTAATCTGTTTTTATATTTTAATTGTGTTTGTTTTGTTTTATTTTGTCGTTGTTAGCTTGCTCAGAGTGCCAGTTTTTAGGAAAAAAATCCCATCACATTACTAAAATAAAAGAGCATAATAAAATGCAATCAAACAAATATGAATAGGTACAGCAAGGAGGTAGATATTAACGAGCAAAGGAATGTGGGTCACTAGTAGCCCTCTGGGGCAGTAACCTGATCTTGTTGTGGTTGGGGCAGCAGATCTGGGGCTAGTGGTAAGCCCTAGAGCCCAAAGGACAACCTGTTGGCAGTCACATGATACTTGCAGAAAGCAAAGACTGGAGTAGACGGCTACAGAGGGAAACATCCCCCCCTTCAAATGGCTTCTCATTAGCCAGTGGGGAGGGGGGATGACCCTCCCAGCTTTACATTGGCCAGCAGAGGAAATTCAGAAGTTAAGACTGTGGACAGGTGGTTTGGGAAACGGGAGTTTCTAATCCATTCTGCTTGCCCAGCATGAAAGACAGGGCAAGGGATTGCTCCCATAAATTTATGATTTGTTCCCAAGTTGCAAGATTGCACTGCCCTGACTCTTTGCAACATCCAAAAACTGCTTCTACAAGGAGTCAGTGCACTTATGGGAGCAAGCTGAAGATATAAACTGCTTTCTACATCTGTATTAATATTGTTTCTATTTTTCTCCACTGTCTTACAACATTGTAAAACTTTTTTTAATCTGTTGTCATTTATATATCCACTGTTATGAACTGTTATGTTTTATGCTCCTTTTATTTATTTGTTTATTTATTTGCTTGCTTGTTTATTACTTTATTACTTTATTACTTTGGACATTTATTGGGCGAGACTGGCAGATAAGACTGGTTTTCTGCTAAACCTGCACACTTCTTGATTCCCTTGTTCTAAAATCACCTTTAAAAAACAGTCATGGTCTTTTAAACTACAAGAAATGCATTAAAGTTAAAGTGGAGCAGAGATTAATACAAGAAAAGGTGGGAAGTGTCTGTTGTTTAAATAAGCAAGCTGTTTAAATTAGCCGTTCAGTGATCATCATCTTAGAACTGCAGAGTTGGAAGGGACCCTATGGATCAAGTCCAGCTCCTGTCAAGGAGGCACAATGTGGAATCAAACTCCCAACCTCTGGCTCCACAGGCAGATATGTAATGCATTTTAGGAAATTGATGGCCAAATATTTGCATCTTTCTTCTTATTTCCCTTTTAAGAATAGCTCCTCTTCTCAATTACAGCACAAATTAGTTTTCAGGAGGCTTTATCATTACTCTCTTTAAGGGCATAATGAAAGGCTATTGGGCCTCATCTGGCTTGCTGGATCACAAGTAGTACCCATCTGACATACACTGACTCTTGACAGAAACACCCATTGTTAGTTAAGAATATGTTATTCTTAGTTTGCACCCATGTATAGCAATTTTTCACAGTATCATGTGAGATTCTCATACTTTAGTATATCACATTCTGTGAGCCAGGAGCTGTGCAGTTCATTTGAAACTATGCACTCATTCTAAAATGGAAATATTTGTTGGATGAGAGTTGCTAATAATTTTAACAGATTCAATTGCTGCATTCATCACTCTGAAATATTCTAATGTTGAAGCCACTTTTCAGGCACGCTGTTGAAAAGGACCTTGGCTAAAGGGCATGTCTCTCTCTTCTTGCCAAATAAGAAACCAGATATAAAACCAGTGGTATCATATAGCACTAGTAGCTATTAGCACTGGCCCTGTTGTTACTGTCACATATGCTTCTTTTCTCTCATCTAGGCTAAAAATGTTGGGCTCTCTGTAACCAGATATGCACATAAGAGGGTAAGACTTTTTCCTTCTACACCCCATTCTCCTCTTCAGACACCCAGTACTATCCATTTGTCAAAATTATTCAATAAAATGTGAGGGTTGTAAATTGGAAGCCTAATCCAAAGTTTGAGCAGTACCGAGGGATTGGCATTTTGCTTTAAAAAAAAAAATTCCTGGAGTGCAATCTGCCATATTTTACTGTACCAAACCGTAGCTGAAACTCCTTAAAGATTCTTCTAAAATTTAGCAGTGTCTGTTCTGGCAGCAGCTAATAAGCAGCTGATTAAAGATTTATAGAGTAGATTTGCATTATCCCCTACATAAAATGACAGTAATGGTAATTTTGGAGACTTGATTAGGGATTGCCCAGTAATCTCTCCAATTTAAATAACTACTATATCCGAGAATGGCTCAGCTTTGTTGCAGAATCACTATAAATGCTTAAATGAGTCTCTTGTTCCACAGTTCCTCCAACAAAGTGAAAAGGTAGAGGAATTTATATATGATAACCTCACTGGTGTCAAATGCCACTTCTGTAGTATGAGTGAATTCTCCTCATATATCTATAAATATATTCTTACTTATCAACCCCTTCTTAACTTTATTATATGTTAGCCTCTCTATACCATCTACTTGGCTGCAAATGAATTTATTAAAAAAATTTAATTAAAGTTACAAAAACATGCACACACACCATTTATTTAGAGTAGAACTATATATAAGAATAAGACCCTGTATATTTCTACTTCAGTTCTTACAATACTGGAGGAAATTGGCTTAGAAGTCAACTCTCCTACTGGAAGTTAATGTTCTACAAAGGAAAGATTTTATGAGCTTCTTCATTTCACTGTACGTAGCATCCCAGGTGTTACACTTGCCAATAAGTTTTTTGTTGTTTTTTACTAGAAATATTTGAAAGATTGGAAGCATCTAGGAGGAGAAAACAGAAAATGAAAGCCAATGTCTGATTGACCTTTGCAGGGAAGGACCAGAGGTGTATGCCCTCAATTAAGCTAGACAAAGGAAATAAATTTTGCTGAATATTGAGAAAATATTCATCATGGTGCACTGCAGAGTAGAGGATGGAACTGCCTGGGGCAAATGGAGCACAAACATTGGCTGGAATCCTTTTCAGAGAAGGGTGGTGGTGGTGGAAGGGAACATTTCTCTCACATACAGGAGATTTTCTTGAAAGTCTTCAGCGAATCAGGATCTGGAAAAGAGTGAGCTGTGATACAAGAGAGAGAGGGCCATTGTCAACACTGGAAACCAAACTGGGAACAGATGAACGTTTCTATTATTTTTTGGGTGTGTGTGATTTCTTACCCTGCCCCTTGTGCCACAACCACTGCACCATTTAGGAGGGCTCCTTCAACCTTCAGGGAAAGCTTTTTTTGTAGTGGGGAAAAGATGAAAGTTCCCCTTCATATGTCCATTTCCAGGGCCTCTTAGGATCCAAACTGTTTCTGTTTTGAAATTTTTTTATATAAATACTGAAATACAATTTTTGGCATTTAAAATAATATATAAAAATAGAAATATAGTGAATATTTTACCTATAGTGAAATATTTCTCATTAAGATACCACATTTATATTTTATACAAAATTGATGGAAACTGATTTGTAAAATAGTCACAACCACACTTGTTTCAAATAAATTTCTGTGCTGAAAATAAATATTCTTGAGCGTAGAATTTTTGAAACATCTGTTTCGCTCTACATGAAAAATATAGTTTGTCTTTTGAGTTTGCATCAGAAGCTGCCAGACATTTTGTCTTTGTGGTTCAGATCATTGCAACAGCCTTTCTAGTTGAGGGAAAAAACAAACACAGATCTGAAATTTATACAGCAGAAATAAATGTACACGCATATTTTCAGTCCTTCACTCTGCTGCATTATGTTATTTTTAGAGTCGCTATGGCCGTCATTCAACTATACACAGGCATATATCCCCAAGCCTACTTGCTGTCAAAGCTCAGTGGTTGAGATATCTGGCTGTGAAGCCAGAGGTTGGGAGTTTGATGTCATCTGTGAACAGAGCCAGCCTGTGTGGTCTTGGGCAGCTAAACAGTCCCAGGACACCCCTAGAAGAAGGGAATAGTAAACCACTTCTAAATACTCTGTACCTAGAAAACCATGGAAAGGGCCACCATAACTCAGAATTGACTTGATTGCACACGATGATTATGACTTGCTCTCAGTAGCTAGTTCTGATAGTTCCTAGATTGTATTTCGTCTCAATGCATAAAAGGTAAGCATGCCAGACACCTGATCAGAGCTGCAAATAATTCCACTTCAAGCATGAGAATCATGCATGCTGTACTTCTGTCTGTGTGTGCCCGGTGTAGTAAAGAATGCATGCACAAAACCAACTCTTACAGGTGTGTTTATCTCATTGGTTCAAGGTAAGCTATGTGTACAGTAAACAATACAGTATTCTGTATTTCTAGATGTAATGAAAATAATGAGTTAGATCTACAAAATGATAGCCATACTTCAGCCTCTCCGAAATGAATCAGATTTAAACTACCTACTGTATGTTGACCTCAGTAGGACCTCTGACTGAGTTGTCGTTTAGCATGAGCTAAGTATGTAGGAACAGGCTGTAAAAGCTTCGTATGAGCTTTTAAGAATACAGGAGGGTTTTAAATATATGAATTCATTGCAAGTTTTCAGACTCAAACAGGTCTTTTTGTTGGGATCCTCAAAAAGCTGCATTTATTGAGGTTCTGCCATTTTTTAAACTATGCAACTTTCAGTGCAATTGTATGATGCTTCCTCCAAAGTCTCAGTGTACTTAAGGGGGGTGTTACTCCATTTAAGTATAGCACATATATAATCTGTTTTCTATAGACAATATAGTCAAATACATCAAATTACCTAGTATGATAAAAATTACCTAGTATAAAACTCAATTAGAAGAATTGCATCTAAACATACAATATATTGCTATAATGCAATATCTATTTAAATTTATTTTAATAGGTTAACAACTCTTTTTCTGCCATTGTCATTTTTGCCACTTTTAAATAAATTTTATTATCCTTAGAAAACCTGAAGGAGAAAAAAGAACAGGAGAAGGCCTATTAAAAACCTTAGGCCTAGAGGGAGTGCATTTTTATTCCATATTGAAATAATATCAGTTCCTAGAGCTTGCCTTGTAGAAGTGATAAATTCAGCTGACCTGGAAGACCCAATGGTGAAGTATTTTTTTATGTCTTTCACATTAATGGTCTGTTATCCAAGTGAAAGATAAAATAGCTGCAGCTTTGGGGGAATACCTCTGACAAACTAATCAAGGAGCCAGAGGCTTTTCAACTGCAGAAAAGTAAAAGAGGGTTCAGAAGGGCTTTTATACCTCAAAGGCTGTAAAGATCAAACTAGTGTGCTGATTCCACAGAGGACTATGAGACACAGATTATTTAAACAGAAGGACAGGACAGCCTTCTCTCTGGTGTATTTTTAAATGTTAATTAGATCCAAATGATATTGAAGCACAGTTTTTATATGCTTACTATCGCAGGAGGGGTAGACTATCTTAGTGGGTTTGAGAGCTGGGTTATTTTGAGAATACCGAACAGCTCAAGGACCTCGTGCTAAAGGGGGTGGGCAAGGCCAGAGAAGCTATATGTAATGTTGTTATTCTTTTAAAAATATTTTCTAATACAGCACCATAGTTATGTAAAGATTGCCATGCTAGGGTTTTCTTAGATGAAAAATGGGTTTATATTTTAAAAGGAGAGTATCAGGCTGCAAGGCTGCTGAGGGGCCCTAAAAATGTAGCAGAACCGTCACCTGTCCTAGATGACACAAGGGGGTCTTCTGAGCAACGTAAATGTTTTCAAACAAATGTTTTTAAAAATATTTTGGGGTCCCAAGAGCCAGAGAAATGCCATGGGGCAGCCTGAATGTGGCCTGCTTACTTCACATTATAGGTGCCCTGAATGCTTTTTTCCCTCTCTCCCCCCCCTGCCCAAAATAGGTTTTTAATTAAGTATCCCAAAGTGCTCATGCTGATGCTTGATAATAAAGCATGATTATTGTTAGGATAGAAAATATCCCCTTCTTCGTAGTGGTCTCTGTGAATGCACACAAATAGGTTATCCTGCGCCTGTGCAGGAACGTCTGGAAGATTCTAGAGCTTAAGAAAAAAGTCAGCTTTCCCCCACCCCCACAGGGGGAGCCCCGCCTCCTCCATCTTCCTTTCAGTTCCTCTTTTTCTGCTGTTCCTGTAGGACGTGGAAGAGCAGAGCTATGAACAGAGCTATCAACCGTTAAGTACTTATCTATAGTTACCTTTTTCTCTTGTTTTATTATTTACTTTATCTTATTTTAATGGTTATTCGACAGAACTTGCTAATTTTGTGTTACTTCTTTTGTTCTGTCACGTTTCCCCCCCTCGATCAACGATCCCCCCCCTTTTTTTGTTTATGGCCCCTCGGGGCTTCAAGCAGTGTGTCGTCTGCTCCCAAAAAATCCCTTTATCAGATGGACACGATAAATGCTTATTTTGTCTTGGAGAATGGCATCAAGATCAGTCTTGCTCTGCTTGCAAAGGTTTTTCAAAGCAAGCAATTAAGCTGAGGTGCCAAAGACTTCGAGCTTTCCTTTACGAAAAGACTCTGTCTCCAAACATGGAAAGCGCCTCCCTCACAGCACTGTCCCCTCTGCGTGCTGAGGCTTCTAAACAGGACTCTTCGGCAGACCAACCGCTGCTTACCATCTCTGTGCCGGTTAAGGCTAAGGACGCTTCCAAACCACCTTCGCACCCTGCAAAAAAGGCGGCTACCAATAAGCCTAAGAGAGCGAAGAAATCAGCTAAGTTGCCTGTTGTACGTCCTCCCGCTCTTTCAATATTGCTCGAGGAGTCTTCAAGGGAAGCAGTTGGACTCTCTGATACAGAGGAGCACATTCCTTTAGCCCAGACGGCTCAGGAACATATGCATACTACCAAACTCAGGCCGATTTGAGCCTGAGCCAGACACCAGCCGGGCCGTTGCCCATTCAAGCC